CAAGGGAGGGCGGGTGGGCGGCTGGCGCGGTCGCCCACCGCTGCTCCGGCCTTCCTGGATTCCCGCGTCCTCCTCAGGGGAGCCTTGCGGCGTCAGCACACTGGCGACGCCGTGGGCCAAAGCATCTGGAGGGAAGCAGTGAGATACAGGTCGTCCTCGTTTAGCGGCCACAGTTGGGCCTGGCGACTCAGTTGTTAAGCGAAGCGGTCGCTAAGCGAAACCGTGACTCTGCTTATGATCTTCCTTCAGCTTTCATTTGCTTTACGGACCTGGGAAGGTCATACGTGCGAGGACGGGTCACAAAGTTAATTTTTCATCACCGTCGTGACTGTGAATGGTCACTGTACAAGGTGGTTGCTAAACAAGGATTGCCTGTATAAGCCTTCCACGTGGAACCTTGCAGATCTCTTCTATCAGAAGATGCTAGATTATGAAGAGCCCGGAGTGGGCTCTGAGGCGTCCTGCAGGCCGGCACCCCCTTTGAGGCCCATCCTCCAGAGCCTCCTGCTGGGGCTCCCATGGGGCCAAAGGCTCCAAGGGCCTGGGAGAAGTCTGGCTTGGACTGTATGGTGGAGAAAAACTCCTTAGGATAGGCCTGAACACCGCGCTCAGCTCTTTGGTCAGTGCCCAGAATGCGCACCCAGTTGGGAGCTTAGTTCCGCAATATATTTAGCCACGTTACGGCTTACTTGGCCTGAGTGTACTGTGTGAATCCAGCCAATTGTGGCTTAATCATTGAACCGTGATACAGCAAACCCTGGCTTAGCATGATGGGTGAAAAGGCCTTGTTCAGCCTTGCTGCTCAGCGAAGCCCCTGGCAGCCGGCCTGCCAGCTGTTCTGAGGAAGGAGGAAGCTGACCCGGTGCCAAGAGCTTCTCCTGCCCTGCCCTGCCCTGCCCTGCCCTGCCCTGCCCTGCCCTCCAGGTGCCCTGCAAAGGAGGTGGTTGGAGGGGAAGAAGAGGGTGGTTCCTGCCCTGAATTCCAGAGGTTGGCATGGGGTCTTTGTGCCACCACAAGTCGATCCTCTTCAGCTGCCTTTTAATTTTCTATTTGCTCAGTGGCAATGCTGATCCTGACCTTTGGGGGAAACCTGCGGCTGGGAAGCCCCCTTTCCTACTCAAAATAGGGGAACAGCTCCCTTATTTTGGGAGGGGGATGTGTTGGCTGCCTGGCGAAGGGGACAGTTCAACCTCTTCAGTTCAGGCAGGCCCTATTCCAGGGTTGACCCTTTCCTGGGCCCAGGATGCAGCTGGGACAGGTGCAGGCTCCCTGTCAGCCCCCATGCAGCTGCCCCCCCCAAAAGGCAGAGTTGGTGCTGGAAGTCCTAGGAAGGGGACCCACATTAAAATGGCAGACGGGGTCGTGCCTTGAGATAAATCTCTGGGGAAATCCTTGCAGAGCACTGCGCCCGGCTTTGGTCCCTGAAAAACAGGATTTGACAGCGGGAGAAGGGGCTGAGAACGGGGAGTCTGGAAGGCAAGGCGGAGGGCAGCATGGCACCCCACAGGGTCTGGAGCCTTTGCACTTGGAGTTGAGAGCGAGGGGGGGTGGTCAGATCCATGGCGGAGCCCACCCGCCCTCAAGCAGCCGAGGGATGACCTGGGGCACCAGTATCCCCCGGTTGACGCTTAGAGATGTTTCTGCAGTTCTTCCCATTGTCTCTGGGGGTCCTGTGTGCCTCCTGCCCCCAGCATGCCAGGACTGAGTGTCATTCTCCGTTGTGCCAGGGGGCTGGGGAGCGGACTTTGTAGGTAGCCCAAGCAAGCTCATTCTAGGAGAGGCGTCGAGAAGGGAGGCTGGGGCTGAGCCTGTCCCCTCTGGGAAGGGCTGATCGATGATGGCCTTTTTGAGCTCCCCGATGACGAACGGGAACGAGGTCAGTCCACGACTGGGGAAAAGGGGCACGGGAAGAGGCCGGGGATAATTATCACAGCACTGCTTGTCCCCGTTGGGGCTCAGGGCCCAGCTGGTCGGGCGGCCACCTCCCCTACCCGAGAGGTGTGCATCGGACCTGCCTGGAAGCCGCTTTGCGTGCCGCAGCCCTGATGGGGCGC